GACGCCGGATCAAGATGGGCGAAGCCCCGCTGAAACTGGTGCCGATCCGCGCCGTCACCCTTCTCCGGAAGCGTGAAGTCGATGAGATGGAACGCGAGACGGGCGAGAAGCCAAAGCAAGGCTTATATGCCAAGTACCAGACCGAATTCATAATACCACCACCAATTCAGGACGGCATCATCCCCAAAAACGAATACGGCAACATCGACTGCTTCGTGCCCAGCATGGTACCCCGCGGTGCCGTCCACATTCCGTGGCCAAGCACAGTACGCATCTGCAAGAAGCTTGGCATTGACTATGCGGAAGCTGTCACAGGCTTTGAGTTCGGGTCCAAGATGGCCGTCCCAGTCATCCAAGGCGTGGTTGTAGCCTCCGAGAACGAAGATCTTGTCAAGGACGCCTGGCGCGCCGAAGACGCCGAGAAACGGAAGAAGGAGCAGCTCAAGGCCGAGAAACGCATCCTTCAGACATGGCGCAAGTTCCTTTTCGGGTTGCGCATCGCGGAGCGCGTTCGCGAAGAGTACGGAGCCGACGACGGAGACGCGGAGCGCGAATCTCATAACCCATTCGCAAGCCGACAGGGACGAAGTCAGGCCCATCCACCTCCTGTTCCGGAGGCCTTGCACGAGTGGCCCGGGGAACCTGCCGACCGTGGCGGTGGCTTCCTTCTTCCCGGTGAAGACGACGGCGACGACGGCGACCTGGTGGTTGAGGATCACCATCCACGCCAAGCTCATCCGTCCGTGCAGCAAACTGAAGCTCAAAGCGAGGATGAAGAGAGGCCCGGTCACGATGCCATTAGTATCAGCTCCGATGGGGGCGGCGATCTCTCGTCTCCACAGCGGATATCGGTTTTTGAAGAGGACGAGCCGTCGGCATCTGCTTCCGACTATGAGCCACCTTCGACGCGCAGGCGCACTCGGAATCCGGGTCGAAGGACAAGAGGCAAATAATTATCAATGAATTTAATGTGGATACGGTAGGCGTTTATGCAGATAAAGATTGCTTTGGGATACACGGCAACTGGGCGGGACTACTCTGAGATGGATACACAGGATGACTTATGTGCAATTACTATATCGTACGATGAACACGAATGAACTAATGATATGCAGTCCGCGATGACAGCCTTATATGCATTGAAGCTTATATGCACACGTAGACTAGTTCGTACTATGCAAAATCACAATAAATGGGAGATATCATATCCTCCGCCCACGAGCAGACGGGGAAGCAATCAGATCCATCTCCTCGAGATCCCCAACGGAGTCCCCATCCGCATCCGGATCAAACTCCCCCAAGGGGGTTACATGCACCGCCGGCGAGGCAATAGGACTATGCGCGACGCGCGGCCGTGACTTGAACACGCTACTGTAGTCTGCCTCCTCCTCGAACAGCTCGTCCCGTGGAGTTGACGCCCGAGTCTGCGACTGTTTCTCTGGTGTTTCGAACTGGTTGACGGGAAGGGAGACACGCGACTTGCGCGAGCGACGGGGCTGCTGTGGGGGCCGGCCGCTCGGGGGCGGAAGCAGCGACATGGACTTGCGGGTGCGTTCGACGAGGGTGAACGTGTTGAGGCGCGGGTCGGGTTTGGGTTCATTGTCTGGATCGGGGGTGATTTGAACGGTAGGCGAGCTTGTTCCGGTTGATTGGTTGTCCGGTGAAGGGACGGCCTCGTTTTCGTTTGATTCTTTACAGTAGGAGGGTCTGGAGTATTGTGAGATCGAAGGTTTGGCTGATTCAGCGTCGGAGGGAATTGTGATGGATGGTTCCATGGCAGGCACACGTAGTGGAGGAGCAGCTCGTCCAGAAGAACGAGGCTTACCGTCGATGCGGGAAAGAGCTTCATTCATCGACTGTAGAAGGGCCTGGTCGTCTTGTCGGGGAGTAGCTCGAGCTAGCGGCTGGCGAACGGCCTTTGAAATGCTGGCCACGGTGAGAGCCTGGTGATCCTTGAAGGTCAGTGATGGCGTGTTTGCTGCATTCCCCGACGTCTGGGCCCCAGCACTGTCTTTCTCACGCATGGAGCTGGCAACCTCGCGCCATTTCTGCAACCGATTGCGCTGACGCGCGATGCGGGACTCCAAGTCAACCAACAGGTCGGGCGTCGTGCTGACTGTCAGATCCTCCACAGTCGTCTTGTTTGCCTTGGACCATGCTGTTTCAAACGGCAGCTCTAAGAAGGCATCACTGCTACTGCGAGCGCCGCCCTGAAGCAGGGTATCAGCCCACTCCTCGCTACCCATCCAATTCTCTTTCAGCTCGCGTGCTAACACATCGAGGTTGGCGACATCCTTGGGAAGATCAGGCGGACCCTCTTTAGAACGATCATCGAGCTGAGTCTTCTTGCTGTCCAGTAGCTTAGAGAACTTCTCATGAACGTCCATAATCCGGGACCGACGCTCACCCACTGTGGCCAGAGAGACCCGGTGGGCAAGAATCAGCGGCAGCATCAGCTGATACTCATCTGGGCTGATACCCTTAGCCATAGAAAATCTCAGCGCGGGGTTTGGCAGGCCGTCCATCGACGAAGCCAGGACCTTGCGTAAAACGGCGGTGGAGAAGACGGCCAGCAGCTCGTCGACCTTCTCCCCTTTGCAGTCGTCCAACATGGACTTGCGAAAGATTGTTTCTCTGCCGAGGTCGCCATTCTTCTTCAGATCAGAAAGTACTCGAGATAGAGCGGCACGAAGATTGACCGATTGTAGCGGCTCCAACGGAGGGTAGAAAGGGCGGAGTTTCTAGCAACGGTAGCTGGTCAGATTCATGCGCGTAGTGGACAATGATTGCAGATGATCACATACATCGTGAGCAAGTTTAGGATCCCAGAGGGCTACAAGGTGATACAGAGCCCATTCGACCGCTCTGATACGCTGGCGCTGGTTCTGCGATGAGGGCGAAAGGGAGCGGACAGTAATGTCAGGCCAGTCGGGTTGAAGGTCAAGTTGCAGCAGCTTCAAATTACGGACAAAGACGCAAGTGTGTGATTGATGAGTCCAATTAAAAGATTTGGGCCGGAGAGCTTGTTTCGAGGACTGCATGGTGGATGCGTGCAGATGATATGGGGGGAATAATGTCAACAAAGCTTCCGCGGACCGAAGACCCAGCACAGACTATGGTGATCTCCACTATTACGGCGTCGCCTCAGAACCAGGAGGGACATAAGTCATTATTGGCAGATTATCTGCATACCACGAGGGGTATTCACTTCAACATAGTATCTATTTTTCAGCACTAATTACCGGGCATTCCGTCCTCAAAAGATAGTAGCTTCAGTAATCGAATAGCTGGGTGCAATCACGTGAGTCCAGTCCTGATAGATCTGTGATTGGAAGCAGAAAAATGCATCTGCAATCATTTCCTCCTAGCTTATTCATATCAGAACCTTCCACTTAAGGTATCTTGTCTCTAATGGCTATTTCAATGGATTGAATCATTCCGATAGTCCCTGCTGATTCCCCAATCCTACGTTGGTATAAGGCTGGCTTGTTGTTTATCTGCACGATAAGCTGTTTACATAGTTTGCATTGGCGGCCCAATCAGGAGCTTCACAATTAAGAAGACAGACGACAATTGACTTGAATAGATACCTCTCTAGAAGGTTAGTTTATAGAATTGACAAGCAAGTATTGAAGGAGGACAACTTGACCAATATCAGGTGATAGTGTTCCATAACCATCATTATTATTGCTTGTGGCTGCTGCGCCGTCTGCTTGTTCACCCTCCTACCAGATTGGCGGTGATAAGGAACAGACACTTTCCTCTCTTTCTCTCCCCGCAGAGATCTTCTCTTTTCTTCCCTCTCTCATTGACTCCAACTTCTTAATTTTTATCACTGCAGCAGTCGCTTCTATCATCATATATCCCATAGCGCTGCGCATTACTTCACAGTCTCTACTTTAATTAATTTCAGACTATCCAGTGTCTGAATTAGCTGTATCTCTCCACTCAAATCGTGGTACCAGCGTACCCCTCATCCAACAGCATCATGGGTTCCGACGCACCTTCCGACCCTCTCTGGACCACTCAGTCAGGTATGACCTACCCAATTACTTCCATGCTAATCTCCGTGATTTGACGGTTCTAATTGCCTGTAGTTTTGTCCACACTGCCTCACCCTCCCGAAGAAAACACCGCCTCCCCCATACCATTTTTCCACCTCCTCGAACGTCTAAAGACCACCAAGCGCGAAGGCTGGCGTCGCTTTGGCATCAGCACCGGTGAATCGATTTCTGACCACATGTATCGCATGTCAATCATGACCATGCTTGCACCTCCAGCTCTTGCCTCCCGCCTCAACCTGCCCCACTGCATGAAGATGGCGCTTATCCATGACATGGCCGAGTCGATTGTGGGCGACATAACCCCTGTGGACAAGGTGAACAAGACCGAAAAGGCGCGCCGCGAAGCCGAAGTGATGGACTACATTGCGAAGAATCTGCTTGGCGGTGTACCTGGAGGCATGTTGACGGGCGAGGAGATTCTGAAGGTCTTCAACGAATACGAGGCAAACGAAACTCTTGAGGCGCAATTTGTGCACGATGTTGATAAGATGGAGCTATTGCTACAGATGCTTGAGTACGAGCGCACTCACAAGGTTGACCTCTCGGAGTTCTGTCACGTTGCTGGTCGTATCCAGCTGGAAGAGGTCAAGGAATGGGCGGCCGTTGTTCTCAAGGAGCGGGAGGCTTTCTGGAAGGGAATGGCTGCGAATACGAATGGTACAGCATAGGCGACTAAGCGCAAGAGACTGGAAAGTTGAGTGTATTCGTGCCTTGCGTCATTCTTTACATTTGTTTTTGGCCATCATCCCACCTAACCCGGTGGAGGCGTTTGGGTTGGTATTCTAGAATTAGATCGGATAGTGTGTGATAGCAAGCGCCTAGGTATGAGCTATATGGATATCATGACATTCAACGAGGCATGGTTGACAGTTCCTAATGCATCTAGTATGTATTCTTCATTTCCGTTATAGAACCTGCTATAAGTCACTGGTACGATCACTCCACAACCTCCCTCTCCATCTCCCTCGCCAACATCTCCGCCTCAGCCTCCATCTCCTCCATACTCCTCGGCGACCGCCTCTCGTTATCAACTGCAGGGAACTTCGCTCTCGGCCTCCTCTCGCCCTCGCCCTGCCCGTCCTGCGCCCCCTTCTCCTCCAAAAAGACCCGCCTTAGATCCCCCTCCTCCCCATCCAACAGATCATACACTGCATCCGTCCCACCCCGATGGTCTAGATCCGCCCGTTTCCGCGGGATGATGTGCGCATGCACATGCGCCACGCTCTGGCCCGCCTCCGGCCCGTCCTGCACAGCGATATTGAGACTCGACGCGCCGTACACGCGCTCAACCATCTTGCCGACCCGCTGCACGGTGAGGAAGAGATCGGTCGTTTCGGCGGCGGTCAGGTCCGCGACGCGGGGAACGCGCCGGCGCGGGGAAACGAGTACGTGGCCCGGGAGGATGGGTTTGAGGTTTACGAGGGCGAAGGAGAGCGGGGTGACGTGGAAGACCTTGCGCGCTGTTAGTCTCTTTGTCTTTGTCTGCCGGTAATGTGTGGGAGAATACCTTACCTGGGAGGTGACGAGGAATGGACCAAAGTAGATCTGGGCACCCTTGAGGGCGGCGGACATGGCGGGGACGGGGTCTCGAACGGACATAAAACTTTATTTTGTTTATCTGTTTGGAAATCGTCTGATCAGGGATTAAGTGTATGCTTGGGGAGGAGTAAGAGGGATCCCACTCGAGAGTGGATCGTTTTGGCGGTTCAGGTTGACTATGGTGCGGAGTCGAGTCGGAGAAGCCGTGCGGGACCTACTTGATAGCGGAACCAGCTGGCTGCGCGTTATCGAGGCCTTTCCCCATGAGGAGGTATACAAATACTACGACAGACAGCAAGGCCACTGCTGACAGCATTCTGCAAAGGAATGGGTATCATTAATTTCTAGTCGGTCTCAGCTGTATATTACATGTCGATTGAGCCTCCACTTAGCTCGATCGAGTGTGGGAGTAATCGCATCATAGAGATAAATAAACCTGGAACAAAGATGATCTCAAGTCTCCTTGGCTGACTCTGTCGTTGACCCGGGCTCCTGCTCGGTTGCCGCCTGCGATTCAGGCTCTTGCTGGGTCTTCTCAGTGGATGCTTCGTCTACAGGCGAGGGCTTTTCCTCTTCGCTTGCTTCTGTGCTCTCGTCTGCATCGGGCTGTGTTGTGTCTGCTTGCGACTCCTCCGCCTTGGGTGCTTCCGGCTCCTCAGGTGGCTGGACAGCTTCTGGATCATCCTTTGCTGCTGCTTCGGTATTCGTATCTGAGGGCTTCCCCTCTTCGTCCTCTTGCACCTCTTCAACAGTAACCTGCGACTCGGCCGGGTCTTGCGCGGAAGGATCGGCGGCTTCCTTTTGCTCCTCACTTGCAACCTCTTCTGCAGGCTGTTTTTCAGACTCAACTTCGGGTACGGCCTCCGTAGATTTTTCATCCTTTGACTCCATCACAGGTTCCGTCTTCTGCTGCTCTTCCGATTCCTCGGCACCCTCACTGATCGTTGTAACGCGAGAACTGATGGACGCGCTATTCTTGTGGCGCCGGGTGGTTGCACCAGTGCTAATGGACGAAGGCTCGATGTTCTCCAGCGGGCCCTCGCTGTCCTTTCGTAGGATCGTCATCCGACGGTTGTCCGCCGGCTCCTGCGTTGACTGATTGGCATCGAGTCCCTCCGCTTCAGCAGGCACCGTATAATTGTCTTCAGGAATAAGCTTGTACATATCGCACACCGTCTTGAAAAATATGTACAGCCCATCATTACCCTCAACCTGCCAGAACACATCCCGGTGCTGAAACCAGGCATGGGCGAAGATGCGATACAGTCGACGGAATATGTTGGTCAGGTACCTCAGACTCGCCTGCGGCCCACCGCCCGCCTCGGAGCCCAACGTAAGACGGCTTGGAAAATGCTTTGGAGATGTGAGGATGTTGGTGGCCCAGTCGAGCGTATGGCAGCAGTAGTCGATCGCGCAGCAGGATTTCGGGGGGTCATGGACGGCGCAAAGATACTGCCACTCGGATGCACGCATCTCAGGACACGTTTGTGCGGAGCAGGGCGGGTCTTCGGCGAAGAAAGCAACGATCAGGTTATTCACTTTCATGGTGAGGAAACGACAGAGTTCGTAGAGCCAGAGAGACCTGTCTACCCCCTCGGGCGGTTCCGCAAGCTGTATCGCAACATCTCGATTGATAGGCACGACGGTCTCAGATCCCTCCGGTCGTGTGAAGTGGTTGTAGAGCGCTTTCAGATGTTCTTGGAGCTGAAACGGAGAGTCGAGCTGTTGGGCAATAGAGGGCCTGCTTAGCGAAGATAAACATCTTTGACTTGTTTGTTTACATGGGCTCACCTGCGACAAAGGAATCAATGGAGGACCGACAGCCATATCAGCCGCTTTAGTTCCTGGTCGGATCCTTCGAGAAGAAGCATCATCATTGCGCTTTGAAGCTGCCAAAAATTCTTGCGTCTCCTTCCCAAACGAATCGCCGACCGATGGTGACTTGGGCCCAATCTGTACCTCCGTGAACGGGGGAGGGCTAGGTAAGCGCGGCGAGCTGGACGGCGACGCTCCAGCAGCAGTCATGATGAAGAAGAGAAAGAATAAGAAATAAAAAATAAAAATCTCAAGGCACGGCCTGTCACTGTAATGACGGCGGCCACCAGACACTGATGCTGGTGATGATTGATGGAGAGCTACTGCTGCGGAGCTCGATGGCCGAGACCACCGCCAGGATCCTTAGGCTCCAAGGCTCTAAGGCTACCGTAGCCCGAAGCCCATGACCAGGGAAGCCCTGAGCCCTAATCTGCCTCCGCTCCAGGAACAGACGTCATTCTTCCCCGCAAGAATCAGGTACGCTGATCGCTTCGTAGTTCATAGACCGTTTGAGTGAAGCATTCATCTCGAACTCAAAATATGCCTGCAGATATTATCGATGATGATGATGCTCCCCCAGAGCTGGTGGATGTGTCCGCGCTACCGGACTCAGAAAAGCCCAATATCTCCACGACACCATCTACAACATTAGACACGCCGGCACAGGATCGTGTGCCTATCACACTAGTAACTGGTATAACTTTATCAGAAATAGACCCATAATGCTTGAAGCTCACAAATGACCAGGCTATCTCGGTGCGGGCAAGACTACCCTGCTTAATTACATCTTGAGTGAGAAACATGGCAAAAAGATCGCCGTGATCATGAACGGTTTGTTGTCCAGGAGCTTGCAAAGAAACATGACTGATATGTACTTGTAGAATTCGGCGACTGTAAGTCGGCACAGCATGACACGATCCAGCCATTAGACTAACCCAACCACAGCGACGGACATCGAAAAGCCATTGACCGTCAACCAGAACGGCCAAGAAGTCACGGAGTGGATGGAAGTCGGAAACGGCTGCATCTGCTGCTCCGTCAAGTAAGCACTGCTCCCCCAAGCTCCGAGACAAAGTGACTGAGCAGCTGGCCGCCAGAGACTCCGGAGTCATGGCCATCGAGTCACTCATGGAGCGCCGGGGGACATTCGACTACATCCTCCTAGAGACAACGGGGCTCGCCGACCCGGGCAATCTCGCGCCCGTTTTCTGGGTAGACGATAACCTCGGCAGCTCCATCTACCTAGACGGAATCGTCACGCTAGTCGACGCGAAGAACATCCTCCGTCTTTTGGACGAGCCCGCGCCAGAGGAAACCGCATCGAGCCATACCGACGGAACTGAGAGCGAGGGCCACGGGCACTCGGGGCCTGTGCTCTCCATGGCGCACATGCAGATCTCCCACGCGGACGTGATCATCCTGAACAAGGCGGATCTCGTTACCCAGGAGGAACTGGACCACGTCCGCTCTCGCATCCTGGCGATCAACAGCGTCGCCAAGATCCACGTCACAGACCACAGCAGGACACCACAGATTGAGGGCGTCGTGCTGGATCTCCATGCCTACGACCACTTGGATAGCCTGGACTTTGGTGCCAAGGGGCACAGTCACATCGACCCGGTAACACTAACACTTGCCCACGACCTTCAATTTCTCATTGCTAACCATTCGCTATATCCTACCAGGCAATATCAACAATCGCCATAATCATACCCTCTATACCAGCCGACAAGATCTCACGGGTAGACGCCTGGCTCCAGTCCATCCTATGGGAATCAAAAATCCCAGTAACGGGCAACACTGATACATCTAACCTCGATAATTTCGAGATCCATCGTCTGAAAGGCATTCTAGTCCTGCAAGACGGGACCTGTAAGATCATCCAGGCTGTCCGGGAAGTCTTCGAGATCCGAGACTCGGAGCCGAAGACAAGCGGCGGCGGCGACTGCAAGCTCGTTCTGATCGGCCGTGGTCTGGGACAGGATGCACAGCCGTGGCGGAGGAACTTTGAGGCGTTCTTGGAAGCCGGACAGTAGCGCAGTGGTTACAGGCGCGATATAGCCGAGCAAGAGGTCACGCCCCATGGTACAAGTCCTCCGCGAGACATTCTATTACCAGCTGGGAGCAAACACGCGGCAAGGCTGAAGCGGCGATGGAATAGCTTCACCGAATGAGGTAGTCCCACAGACCGCAAACTTAAAGGGCCGCTCAACAAGTTGCCAAATAGTTACCAAGGAACAATCGCCAGCTCCTCTGACGTACCTGCAGCCTGCATGAACCATATATTTGCAAATAAAAAAAGGCATCAATTAGAATTTTGATAAGATAAATACAGCTTCATGAAAGAGAAAAATTGACACGGACATCGGAAAAGTATACAATGGAACCACTTGCAGAGGGAAAAGAGCATCAGATGACATCCGCCAATCGTATAACATGAGAAGATCGTAAATAAGGACTTCAGGCAACAGTGGTCCTGTTCTGAGAAGAAAATGTTTCAGCTTCCAATGCCCTGGTATCTCAAAAAAGTATGAGCAACAGTTGCGGTTGGGTTCTATTCAATGATGGCGCAAGAGCCGTACCAACAAGAGACTGAATAGTAGAAACCAAAACTCCAAATTCGCCTTTATCGACTTTCCGCGAGACTCGCCCATTCGAACGAATGAGAAAAATATGGGAAGGGACGCCAACGAGGTAACTATACAGCGCGAGCAAAAACGTGTATCAAGGGTATCGAGCACTTTGAGGCCTTGGTGTCTGAGGCCTGGCTAAATCATTGGGAAAGAAATGCTGAGTCGTGGGAAAGGCTTTTTTTAGTTTCTAAAATGCGCCCACTGTCATATTGATGCCGAGTAATTGTTGGGGATCGCTGGGTTGATGGGCAGATGAGATTCGCTCAAATAGGGTGTTTGCTCCAGGAGGCCATGCTTTGGATAGTTGAAAGCGGAGCGAATGACCGACTGTGATACTCGGTCTGTCTTCAGATCCGTAGATTGTTGCTTCTTTACACTCGATGCGGGGTTGATTGGTAAGGCTGAATGTAGAAGGGATGATACGGCGTATGTTCGCACTTCGGTGGACCGGTTTTCCTTCGGGATATAAGGACACTCAAGGTCCACCGTCGAGGAGAAATGTGGATGAGTAGACTGAGTTGTTGCTGATGAAGCAGAGGACGTATGATATTTCACCGATTTTGATGATGGTTCTCTCGTGCTGCCTGAAGAGCAGGCTGGATTTCGACCGACACCCGCCAGCTCCGCCGGGATATGGTCACTCTGGAAATGTAACGAGTTCGCTGATCGATCGACAGGATGTGCTTGATGGATAGAGTCTCCCCCGCTAGTGTGTCGTCCTCTCTCATTTGCTCCCCCACGGTCGGGGATGTGGTTGCGAAGTTTGTTTTCCGGTACGTCTCTATCAGTAGAGGGGTTAGGCCGTTGGCCATTCGTCTGGGAATTTCGAGAATCGAAAGCCACCTCGCAGGGCCGATTGTCGGCTGCATACTCGTGCATGGAGTTTGAGTGTTCATTTGTGGTCGGCATTTTTTCGTCGTCAAGTGACACACTGTAACAGTCTTCACCAGCGTATGCTGGAAAGGACTCTACGCTATTGGCATATAGCCGAGACCCTGACTCGTCCAGAGAAACTGTTCTTTCATGGAAATGACCAGGCTGATAAAATGGCCGGTTGTTTGGACTGGCAAAAGGTGCCGCTGTAGTAATGGCACGAGCATTGTATAAAGGTAACGGGCTGTTGTACAGTCCAACGCCGAGGCCTCCGTGCGGAAGATGCGCCGAGTGGAATTGCGGTGTTGCTGAAAGCTCCTGCGGGAAGAAGACCAGGAGCTCCTTTGCCGAGAGCCTGTGTCGAGGAGAAGGGCTCAAGCAGATTGATACGATCCTGCGATACCAATCAGGCACGTTCACCTCCTCGCCCAGCAAGAGGGGCCGAGGCTGCCGTTCAGGTTCGTCTTCCTCGGTGGCCAGCGCCCACAGAGTCATTCCTAGCTGATAAAGATCGGTTTTGACCCCAATGTACATGGATATTCGCTGGTTGCTCTCGATCTTGGCGGCAATTTCAGGGGGCTCCCATCCCACAGGACAGCCTCGTCTATTGATATCGATGATTTTGGCGTCGTCATTGGCGTCCACCACGATGTTCGACAATGTGAAGTCTCCTTGCACATATCCCGACTCGTGGATCTCACCCAGGCCCTGGACGATTTGCCTCGCCCACCGCGCTCGCCTCTCCCACGAGATTGTGCCCCGCTGCTCATACAAAATGTCAACCAATGCCCCCTGCTCGGCGTAACTGATAAGTAGACCCTTGACGACATCTCGCCGGTCGTTGACAATAATCCCTTCCACTTGAATGACGTTTGGTGAACGGTTGAGGGCATGTAGGGCGTTGATCTCGTAGAGAAACTCGTCGACCGTGTCGGGACCGGGAATTTCCTTTTTGATATAGTTCTTGCCATCCAGTCGGACATTGTACACGAAGCCCGACAGATGCGCCTCGAAATGCAGCTGGTATTCAGGGACAAGGCGAGCCTCCGGCAAATGGCCGATGCAGGAGGTCGGAGGGTAGGGGATGATTTCGTTTACGTCTTCGGTGACGTGCACATGGAGCCGGCCATCACGCGTCTCCAATTTCAGGTTCGTGACTGTGTCGTAGAATTGAATCTCTGGAAGCGACTCTCGGATAGATTCGTAGATTCGAGCGCACTTGTCTCGCTGGTAGCGTAATTCCTTCAGATCTTGCTCGAGCGAGTCGGGAGGAGCGCCCCGATAATCGCAAGAAATGGTGACTCTGCGCCATCGGTTGGGGGCCTCTGCGTAGGTGACGAAAAATTTCTCGCGCTCCGACCGGTCACGAAAATGCATACTCAGATTCAGTATCCATCGCTTTTCCAACTCCATCTCAATCAGATCCTCCGGCGGCTGTTCGGGCATATCCGCGACCTCGGGACACGGATTCCAATCGGGCATAACCTCACTGTCATCATTCGTCGTCGCGGGTGGTTCAACTTCCTCCACCGTGGGTTCTTCCGCGTGGTCGTGCCATGGAACCTCGGGCGCGGACAATCTGGGGTCCACGGTGGGCTGTGGGGACCTAGTCCGCTGGGCACTCAACGGGCAACGACGGTCGGCGGAAACGGCACGACGGGGCTCTGGTTCGATGGGGGCTAGACGATCTCGTCGTTCCGAATCCTGTCTCTTGAATGTTGTTGAACGGGGCAGACCGACCCCTACCCTGCGAGAAAGTCTGCGGGTCAGGTTATCGTGGGGTTTGGAGGAATGGTGGGCATTGTCGTCGTTTGCTGTGGATGAAGGGTTTGCGGGAGGTGAGGAGTCACCAGAAGGTGACCGGGAGGATAAGTCGCGATCATCACGGCCCAGCAGTCTTCGAAGACCGAGTCGATGCCACATGCTCTGTTTGGGGCGAGGGTTGACCTTTTCTGGGTCAAGCAGAAAACCCAGGTGCCTCGTGGGGCTATATGAGCTGTCTGCGATAGAGATGGCCATACAGATCGATTCGGTCGCTCCACTGTCGTGCAAGGAACGACTTGAACACCCCGCCAACTGGATTCCCGACGTCCATAAGAGTTGAGGCCGGCACTGGGAGAAAGGACGATAGTAATCAATTCACTGGTGCTGCTGCCGGTTTTTCACCTGTCTAATCGAACAACCTGAAGATAGAGGGGAGAGATAGAAGAGAGAGAAGCGAAAAGATGATTGGGAAAGAAGAACAAAAAAAATAACAAGAAGAATTTTTTTTTCCTGTTTTCTATCTTGTTCCCTTGAGAAGTCGGTGAGGTCGTATGAAAATTTGCTTCGTCCGTGCCAACTTGGGCTGTGGCTGGGTTGGTTTTTTTCCCTCTTGACTGCCTAATGAGGATCGAACAATGAGGGCGAGGTAGAATGAGTCAAGGTGAAGGGCATCAGGAGTCAGGGAAATTCTCGAGGCGGGGATAGAAGAATCACCAAACTGAGCAGTCTTTGGACGGACGGACAGATAGATAGACAGGTAGAGTCGATACTTGAAGATGCAAGAGGAAAAAGATATGATAGATGGATAATTGCCCAATGGGCAACAGTTTGATGGTGGTTTTGCCCTGCTTGCTGCAAGGCGTCTACTCGTTTAGATCCAAGTCTTCTTTCTTGACATCTAATTGAACTAAGAATAATGGCTGGAGCAGCAATATGATTAAATTCCTGGCAAAGCCAACTGATGATCCATCACCCCTCCTTCCTCCTGGATTAGTCCTTTCATTGGGACAGTCAATTGCATGGAGTATAAAACATAATAGCTGGAGATGTCCAGCACCACGAAGCAATAACAGAAAAACAAAAACAACAAAAGAAATCCTAGAGAAAATTGTTGATCACCAGAAATTATGTTGATCAAACATCCTTTAAGATAAATACTAGACTAACACTCAATACCAAACGCATAAATGGAATATTGTAGCTGTATGGCGGCCTGATATGTGCCTGATATATCCGTATAGAAGAGTTAGGAAGGCTTCATATTTTCTCTCACACCACGGCTAGATAACTAAAATATCTCGGTAAATACTCAATTGCAACAGCCTTGTAATTCGAACCTGGTATCCAATTCGCAGTGTGATAGCAGAACGACCCAGTGGACCTGCATCCCTTTTCTTCCTGATGCATTAGGTAGATATTAATGCACAGCCCAAATCTTTCTCGAAGCCTTTTCGCCTGTTTCAGTTGGCTGTTCGGAGTATGTAGATACCTTGGCCTTCCCAAAGGATTCAGCGTATGATATTTTCATGCGCTGGCGCACTACTGCGTATACTCCATCTGTCCCTTGTCCTTCTCCCATCCATAACATACAGACTAGATTACGATGCTGATGATGATGGCGACGCCGTTGACACGCCGTTGACCCAACCAGCATATTGCTCTACCCGCATGGTGAGACAGTCGAAGACATCGCGACAAACCTACCGGTGCAGGCTGGTAGTCTACCATGGCGGATCACCAAAATACTTGAAAAATATGAATTTCCG